GGGGGGGGTTACTATCCTACAGAAAGAACAAATTCAGTGATATTAAGGATTTCAAACTAGGTGATCAAGCTTATATACACAAAAATATCATTTCATATATTTAAAATTAATGATGGCTTAAATTTTACACAAATATTCCCCTACCAGACGTTAATGCTCAGTGTGCCACATATGCCACATCTAATATGGGTCACCTCCCTTAGACCATTCACCTGATACCCAGTGTGCTATATATGGAACATGCCTGTTTCAACAGGCCTAGATCCTAGAATACACACTATATTGACTTCTTTGGACAGATATATAGTTTAAACTTGCAGCCAAGCAATAACTTTATGTGACTTACCTTAGAGATGTGGAAATTCAAGATTAAGCAAAATCAATTTTTATTAAAATGGAAAGCAAGTCAAAGTGGAAAACAGAAGGCACAAAGCAACTCCCGAGAAGTTCATACGGATGTTGCAATGAGTCTTATTTCTATAGAAGAAGTTCTAGTCCAAATGGGAAGACTAAATTATTAGATATCATCGTTTAAAATCTATGTACCATATATTGCACGTCTAGTTCTAGAGGGTTAACTCCCAGCAGTTTTGCCTATTTTGCCTTTTTCATTTATGTTTCAGGGGTCCTCCAAACCCTCAAACCTCATGCAATAATCTGTTTGTCCCAGATAGACATGTTAAATATCAATGGTAAGGAAATTAGATGGTCCTTCAGACTTACCCAATAGATTTCATTTTTTGTCAAGCTGTTTTGAAGTGGGACCTTTTTCTCTTGAAACAAAAACAGAAATCACACTTTTCCAACGGTCACAAAGAAGGGGAAAAAAGTGTTTGAGAATTTAGAGTATACAATTATTTCCTGGAAAAGTACATTCACTTTTGCACATTATGTGTCAAAGATACACCATTCTGTTGGAAAATGAAGAAATGAAAGCCTTTCTAGTACATTCTACAATTCCTAGTTATTGCCCTTGAATATGGAAATTTCATATCATGACTTTTTGCTCTCAGGCCTCCTGCAATAATCTGTCTGTCCCAGATAGACATATCATAAACCAGTAGAAAGGGAATTAGATGGTCTTCCAGACCAAGCTTGACTTTCACCATAGTGAATAGAATTCCTGTGACCATAAAGCCTTTTATGTGTGTTTTTGTGGGTTGAAGCTGAAGTGGCTAACACAATAAATGAAAGTTGCACACTGTTTTCTCATGCAGTGCAGACACTGAATGTCTTGAACTTACCGTGTGGAAATAATTTTATCTTACTTCTGTTAGGAAGGTGCTGGATCTACTTCTCTATATCAGTCTACTTTCCCTTATGGTTTGGAAACATCTCGTAGCATTTCTCTTAACCTGCATCTCACTTTGTATTTACGGGGGTCTCAGTTTGATTTTCTTCACCACAGATTTCACACTTCTCATTTTACTCTCTCTCCGCAACTGCTCTTGCTGCTGCATCTGTCCTCGTATTTTGCACGTAACTTCAACCCCCACCCAAACCCCCACAGGTGCGGAATCACCAGGAGCCGTGCGAAAACTAATGGCCCTCTCCGACAAGGTCCGGCCACACAATCCCAAAATCCCCGTGGGCAAAGTGGTCAGCCCTACGGCTGCGCGACGTGGGCCTGGTGGTGGGCCCACCTCTCCGCGGATTGGGCCTTCATCGCGTCCTTTGCCAGTCAACCTGACCCCAGAGAGTTCATGCCTGGGTCAGGGCCCCCGCAAGCAGCCCATTCGTACGGGTAAGGCAGTGTCAGCATCTCAGCGTCATCGTCACATCACTTCCGCTGTTGATGTAGCCGCCCCATCTTGGTCTTCACTAGTGTTGTGTCAAAGGCGCTTCATTGTGAAAGGCACACTCACCATCCCCGCAGACCATCTAACAAACCCAACCCTCCTCCACCCCCATCCCCACCCCTACCCCCTCCCATCTCAGTATGGCCTCTGGAATCCGACACATAAAGCTCCCCACATTCATAACTGTCCTTATTCTCCTCATCTTTCCACACACATACACATTTGGATAATATTCAGCAAATCCACATTTCTGCTCACAATGTAACGTGTAGATGCTCTCATATAGACTAGTACAGTCACACACCTTCAATGAATTGGAGAAAATTGTCAAAACATTTACAAGTTGATTCTGAAAAGTACAAAAATTTCATAGCCTAAGCAAAGACTTCTTTCCCCTTGAGCAATGGATTAGAAGTAAATAGTTGATATCTTTTATTGATTTGCTTTTTTATTAAAAGAGCAAAAAAAAATTAGACACACTCTTAGAAGGTCAGAGGATTGTTCTTATTAAATACATATCTCACAGAAGACCTGCTCATGGGGGCATTTTTGTAGTGGTCCAAATAGCTTTATTTGTTACAGTAAAAGCTTTTGGGCTTTTTTTGTGTTAATTTTTTCATTTTGAGTACATACTTATCTAGTACTACTTTCAATAGAAATGTGTTAGGTTAATAGCTCAAGTGATCTATTATGATGAGAGCAAACTCTTACATCACATATTTTTCTATAAAGTAGTTGGTCTCCTCTATTGTTGACCTGTTGTCATTGTTGTGCTTACAGACTGCTCCTGTTTTTGTCTCTTTCACTTTTGTACATTTTTTTTTTTTTTTGCCTTGAAAATGTCTTTAACTTTTTAACGTTTTGTTTTGTGTTTGTTTTTTGTTGTTTTTATTTATTTTTTATTTTTTTGCTTTGAATTAACATTTATTGACACTTAATGGAGTCTGACATGACTTGAAAGCATGTTGATTGATGGCACTGGCTGCGTCAGCTTGATGAATGACACAGCACAACATCACTGTTGACATGAAATGATTCAGCATCTTGTTTTGCTGTTGTGCACTGTTTTGTGTTCTCATTTTGAAATTTCATCCAGTTCAATCATTTTCACTTTCTTCTGCTGAATCTGCTTTATTTTTATATCCCAGTCTCTAGCAATTGTATCTGTCTTTTATATATAGCAGCTTGGAAGAGGGGTCAAAATCCTCATATATCCGACTCTTACTTCAAAGTAAACCCAATTTTAGAAACTAGCTTCTGATGAATTCAGAACAAGCTGGTAGATTAGAACTAGAAGGTCAAGATTTATATTTATCCATGTTTGTCTTTTATTTTTATTTGCATTGAGTTTGATATTTTTAGCCTTATGGAGTAGAATGGTGAAGTTTCTGAATCTGATCGTTTTAGTCTTTGTAACAAGGAGGGGGAAGCCTTAAGTTTAAGTCTGGCTTTAATAATTTGAACTCGTCATAAAAGTTTAAGAAGCGGATGGTG